AATAGGTCAAGCAATAGGACATTCACCTGATCAATATAACAAACCGTACACCAAAAATAAAAATATTATCTTGGTGTAATGAGATCATGTTCACCAACCTTGGAAGCTTCCATTGTGCAGCTTTTTCCACTCAAATTCCTTTAATACATTATTATGTTGCACATGTGTGGGTAATTCCCAGCACAAAACAATGAATACACGTGTTACAAGTGTACATTGGTATTACAATAACCTATACCCTCGTTTTATATTCAATTTACAGGGTAATATTTAAATACCACAACATACTGGCAATAACGTAACATTGCATTTGTGAATTTATAATTAGTTTGCTGTTGTTTATAGTCCATTAAAAAACTGTGTGTGTGTAAAATTGAGAATCTAAATTTCCTGGATTTTTTCGCCTTACTAATAACCCCTTTATCTAATGTTCTTTTTCTCTGTTTTGAAGTTAGAACTTAGGTTTATTACAGCCAGGAACAACTGTTTGCGAACCCTACATCACCTTTCCTGCCACGTAGCTTGGAGTGCACACATATGTACACACATGGCGTCATCCACTGAAGACACTGCTGCAATCGCAGAAGAACAGCTGATTGGCGCGCTCAAACAGAAGTTGCAGGATATGAAAGACGACTTCACGAAAGATTCTACTACGTATGAATAATTTTTATTTTAATACACCTTTCTAATAAGTGTCGCCCTATGTTCCTATATTAATACGGGAATTGCACGATTTAAAATAAGAGTTCTTTCTTGACAATTCACTCATAAACATGAAAAGGAATTCCTTCCAAGATATACGACGAATACAAAGATCAGTTTTACAGCTACGAGATTAAAGTGTAGGAATGCACAAATGTTTGCGTAATTCAGTGTACATATTAGGAAGAGTATGTGGAACTTTCTTGCATAAATATTTCATAAATTTATACCCGTTCGAGTTTGGCCATTAACTATTTCTGCGACGGTGACCAGACATGAGAGCAGTACTCCAGGGTACTATACTATGAATAGCACAGTGACTTTGAATATCTAACATCATCAAAAAAAATAAATAGCAATTTTAAAGCGTTGGTAACAATAAGACCAATGTTCCAACTGAAATTCTGAGTTAGTATGACACCTAAGTCTTTAACAGTGCTGACTCTATTAATTATAAAACACACACATGGCCGAAAAGTCCGCTTTCTGCACAAAATCCAGGGCCGGAAATGATGACCAAAACATCCAACAGTTCCGTGCACCCTTCATAAAACACTATATACTATATGTAATTGTCTAGTTGCACGCCGTGTTTGGAATCTGTTGATTGCATTCAAGAAACTTGTATTCACAGATATTTTATATCATTAGCAATGTGCCGTGCCTCATATTAAGTGAACTGTCATGAATTTGTTTTTGCGTATCTGTTGACCGACTTAATTAACTGATTATTAGCGAATTGCTGTGTTATGTCTGTCATCGTGTAGGCCTATTTGAAGTTTTGGACGGAACTTGGCTCAGTGGTTTGGAACTAATTACAAGATACCGTCGCTATTCTGACATCCGTAGTTATTAATGTAGTGAACGTTTAATCAAAAGATATGACGTATTCAGTACTTAGTGTGATTGGCTTTATGATTGAAGGTTACGCCCTAGAGTCTTTTTACTGTTTTGTAATTGGTTAGAGTTTTGAAAATGAATAAAGAGAGTTTGAGTTGGTCTTGGCGAATACTCCACGACAGACGCAGCCTTGGGCAGTCGAGTCCAGTCTGAGAGTCCGAGAGAGTCTTGGGGCGAGCCTTGACGCAGTCCAGTCTTGGGCGAGTCTTGGTTCAGCCTTGCGAGAGTCTTGGGGACTTTTCCCCAGGGCGCTGTGTCTTATAGAGTGCTCGATTGACCGACTAAGACGAGAGCTGAAACGTATTTCGTTGTGTGTGTCTTATTTGACTGTAAAGTTAAAGTGACTTCCCGATCCCGTACCTCAAGGGGACGAGATATAGAGACGAGACGAGTTCCCCCCCTGACAAGTGTGGAGACCCCGAGAGAAAGAATTTCCCCTTGATAGAACAGCCTCTTCCTAGAAACATTGACAGTACAATTATTTTCCTCGTAGCCTTAGACGTTATCTCATCGCCAGGAACTGGAACATAAAGGATGCGGAATCCATGTTGAGAGCTACCGTAGATTGGCGGAAAGAGAATCAACCATGGAGACAGGAATGTCTTCAGTGTTACGAGCAACCGGGTTACCATTCCTGGGTAAGTTATACTCATCGCTTGCATACATAATTCACTGCCTTGTTCCTAATTAAACTTTTCGAAATGTTTTTATAGTTCAAAGCCAGGTCATCATTAAATCGCCCTGTGAACACAACAAGTAGTTTAAGCCCCAAAATACATATCCCATCGGCAAGCCAACAGCTATATTCATTCATTTCAAATTGTCCCGCAAGTCGGTAGTGCTAGTTGTCGTGCTGTGAGCATTTACAAACAAGCGTCTACCGATTAGCCTTTGCGTTTTTAGCGTGTGTTGTTATCGTAGCTTGGGACTCAATTCCCGCGCATGCGCAGGTGACGACCCTCCCGCGTTAATCCTAAGTACTTATGAGTATTGTGTCAATCTCACACTCGTCATATATTTCAAAACAATCAAGATGAATCGCCAAATTTGAAAGATATTATATGATGGTATGTGCTAACATACTAGTGACATAATTTGATTACCTTCCACAGCGGCAGGTGGGCATGGACAAACGTGGGCGACCAGTGATCTATTCCTGTTTCTCCCAGTCACCAGTAAGAACATATACAGTTGATGATAGCTTGAAACATCTGATGTACTTAATGGAAAACGCACAACGCACCCTGCCACCCACTGAATACCAGTGGATATGGCTCCTAGATTGCACTGGTGAGTTAACATTTATAATACTTTACACGATGAGTACCGAAATACTAGTACGACTCCGTGTTGTAAAACAGTATTAGATATTCAAAAATAATGATTCGTTATTGGGTTAGCACTGTTCATCCTTCCATTCTGTAACGGACTATTACTTGATTTTTAAAGTTGATCATCCAAGTTCATACTACTAATTTAAATAAAGAGAGATGTATGTGTAAGTGTACTGTAACTGAAAAAACTGATACGATTTAATTAAAATTACGTAATATTTACTCGTGTTTTATTTTCACCCGACAGGCATGCCTACTTCTGCTTACACCAATCCTAAAGTTGGATACACGGCGTTCCAGATACTCTCTAACCACTACCCAGAGAGGTTAGGAATGATGATCATCTTCAACTATGACACAATCTTCGAAGGAATATTCAAAACGTTACGCTTCTTTCTCCACTCCAACACCGTAGGTAAAGTTCACCTCCATCGCAATATGAACAAGATTGAGACTCTATTCCGCGAATTATTTGACGATGAACTAGTTCAGTGGGTGAACGAAGAAATCACTCTAAACAAAGAAGTTCCTTTAAGAGACACGCAGACAAACTTCTGGAATATGCCTAGTAACCCCGCAGACCACGACCCGCGTGGATGCCTGACTTATGTCAATAAATATCTCAACACACACTTTAAAGAGGCAACGCCTGTCGAAAGTCTTGTCATGACGATGGCTCCCAAGATTAAGAAGCATAGACCACATCCGAATATCTTAGATGACTTGCGAGATCGAGCAGATGAAGCAGCAATTGAGAAAGCAGAACGAGAAGCGAGACAAAATTTGGAGGAGGAAAAAGACTGTACCATCTTATGAATGTGTGTACATTGACTGTGGGATGACCACCTTCTATCAAGAGATACTCCAACTAGTGTATAGACTAGTAATGCAGAACTATCTCCGATAGTGAATTGTACTTTCACTGTATGATAAAACATTACGTTAAATTCACTGCAAAATATCAGCATATTAATTGTTTGAGTTTATCTATTTGAATTTATGACATACTAGTATTAGATTTTCAACGTATAGGCATTGTTTACTTGCTTTAATTTAAGTTTTGCAACACATTGATCTAACAAATTTATTAATGAAAACACTAATGAATAAATCCGACATATCTGATGTTGGCTTTGGGTTTAACATTACTTTCAGAACAATGTCACTCAAAACCCATTGGATTTACATCACATCCAGAATACATCCAGTTTCAATGTAGATGTTACAAACAATATATATCTATCTCTAAATTTACCAAGACAACCCAAATCTCACAGTTTGAACCTATGTATGATTAAAAGTTCGTTTCCGGAGGTGTGTCTGCTACTGCACACAGGGGTTGGTTCAATTTGTTCTCTCACGTTAACCAAATATGTTATGTCAGCAATGCACCGATGAATTGCCCTGTATTGTGATATGATATATTCGAAAAACCACTGAAACATACATCGCCATATAAAAAGACATTGGCCAAGTATATTGTACTTATTCTGACAATAACATTTAACCAATCGTGAATCATTTACGTTGATATAATAAATATCATAATGACGTCATACACATGTCCGTGTAATAACTGTCCATATATATCTGTACTTTAAAAAAAAGTATATTGGCATTTTTAACTCACTGAGATATACATAATAACTGCTACATAAAAGATGCTGTCATCTGAAAATTATAAGCATACATGTTAGCAGTGCCATCAAATTTATTAAAATCATTTATAAACCAACCATAAAATCGATAAAAGGGTAAACTTATACACATAGATACTAACATACCTGTAATCAACCAACTAAATGGTCATTCACAAGTTGAATAATCAATGAATTAGCTAGCTAAAATCAGCTCGCATACCGTAAGGCCAAAAAAAATGTTTTGTTGCGACCGACCGAAAAATATGACATAAAAATATGATAATTTTTTTTTAATAAGCCCAAATATTAAAAACTTTTAAGCTGTAAAGAAGTTTCCTCTAAAAATAAACGATCCCGGACCGTTATTTGATCTCCAAGGTCCCCCGGAGGATAAGTGGCGACTTTGAACCTCGTGTTGATCTGTATTTCTCTGACATGTTCCGAATACTGTGAAGTCTGAAGAGCAAACACGTCTCTTGCATTGATTCCCATATACCTCGGCTATTTACGATACCCTTAGTTTCCACGAGTTTAAAAATAAAAAAATCCGACCGACCAACCCAATTTTTCAATTTTTCCGACTTGAGGGCAACATTAGTTTGTTTTTTTGGCCTAATTACTGAACGCTTATTCGAGCCAACTAATTTTATTTACACTTATTCATAAATGAAATTGAAGCCTGTTGACGTGCATTTCTCCTGGCGTTGTAATTTTAAATAACGAACACTATTACACTAATTAAACCAATGTTCACTGTAGAGGGCGACACACATGCTC